TGACATTGTTAAAATCTTTACTCTCTCATCTTAGGTAGCTTGTTCAAAGTCTTCCAGGGGAGCACCTGGAAGTTCAGATGGAATGGGAAACCTGCATGAGAACTGTGGTTTAAACTAAAAGCATTCATTATCATCTGTAAGGGTTTTTTTAAATAGTAGTTTTACTAACTTGGAGCATTATGTAAGGCATATGTATTCTTTCTCTTTATTTAATGAAAGGAAAGAGAAATTTCAGACTAAATGCTGTTTATTTAGTACAGTATTAGGGAAGTTGGCAACATGGCCAAGGACTCTTTATGGGGAAGTAACTCAGTTCCTTTTCAAATGGAATATCCTTTAAATCCTTAAAACTCTGCTTTTACCAGTGATAATTTTTCACTGTTTCTTAAACATTTCATTAGCATCTGCTTTGCTGTACCATTGATGTGATACATGTTTGTCTCAAAAGCTTATGTTCTTTTAATATAACCAGATCAGTTCATATGCATTTTATTCTATGATGATGGGATTAGCAAAGCAATTAATTTATGGAAGAAAGCCCTCTCCCCCTGGGAATACAGAGGAAAGGTATAAGACACCAGCATGGATTCAAGACTTTAGCAGTGTTTGAAGGCCCCCAAGTTTTGCCCTTTTCTCTCAGCCACCTCTTCTTAGTCTGTTTGGATTTTCTTATAGCTCATCTCCTGCTTGCAAGATGCAAGCATCTTTCTAGCTATGCAATAGCATTGAAGAAAGGCTTCACATTCTCTTGAAAATACTGTGACTATGTTGCTCACCCTGGAGTACTCACAGGCTTCTGCTGAAATGCTACCAGTTGTCTTGGATGCTGTGAGTGACCGAACCAACTGGAATGTTTCTGTTTAGGAATTACTATTAGGTTAAATAACTTTCTCAGACTCTTTAATGTTGTAATTTTGACCACTCAAATGATGTTCAGTTATGAAGACAACAGATGAGAAAGTATGTACCTTTCTCTCATATTTTCTTAAAGATTGAAGAGGTACGGATTTGATGGATGGACTGTTCAGTGCATAAGGAATTGTCTGGATGATCTCATACAGAGAGTAATGGTCAACGGCTTGATGTCCAGATGTAGATCAGTGACGAGTGGTGTCCCTCAGGGTCTGTACTGGGACCAGTACTTTTTAATATCTTCATCAGTGACATAGACAGTGGAATTGAGTGCACCCTCAGCAGATCTGCAGATGACACCAAGCTGAGTGGTGCAGTTGACATGCCAGAGGGACAGGATGACATTTAGAGGGACCTGGACAAGCTTGATAAGTGGGCCCATGTGAAATCTCATGGGGTTCAAGAAGGCCACATGCAAGGTCCTGCACCTGGGTAGGGGCAATCCCAAGCACAGATACAGGCTGGGCTGAGGGCAATCCCAAGCACAAATACAGGCTGGGCGGAGAATGGCTTGAGAGCAGTCCTGAGGAGAAGAACTTGGGGGTGTCAGTTGATGAAAAACTCAACATGAGCCAGGAATGTGTGCTTGCAGCCCAGAAGGCCAACTGCATCCTGGGCTGCATCAAAAGAAGTGTGACGAGCACCAAAGTTACAAAATTATTTATTTTGTAATAAGCAAACATTATAAGAAATTCCACTTATTTTAGGTGGTTTTATGGCTGTGAAGAAGCAGAATATCTTAATTTTAAAAAACAAAATCCATCAGGTCAGTAACTTTCCACCCCTTGTGTCCCATGATTATTCGGATTGAAACTTAGCAAAACTGCTGATGAAGCACAGTGGGAAAAGCAGAATTCGTCCCTGCAATGTGGATCTTTTATGGTACCTGTTTGAACAAAAGAGCTACAGGGAAACTGTCAGCTTGTTTCTCTCCTCTGCCTGACCCTCTGTGTTAGTATTGCCAGCATTGGGTAATTCAGGAAGCACATAGGTAATTCAAAAAACTTTTCTTCTCACTTCAAGCTCTTGCTGAATAAGTGGGCTTTATAACAGTGCTTCAAATTACCAGTGCTTTACCGCTGAACTAAGTCTTTCCTTTTGGTTTCATAAGCTAGCAGCACCAATATAATTTGGAACTAACAATAAATGGGGGAGTGGTGTACAAACCCCGGGCCTTACCAACATGGTAAAAAGGAGCAGGAAACCTGCAAATGTACTTTAGCAGTTGCTTATTTGAAATGCCTCTATTTTATTTTTCTTTATGAATTGTCTAAAGCAGTTGAGCTTTGTACAGGTTATTACATTACACTTAAATGCCTTATCAAGTAAACAAGAGTGAACAGCTTTTCCACTGTTCAATAAAAAATAAATAAAAATTAACACTATATTTTTGAAGTAAAATGCATCGTTCTCACTCCAGCTAGTATCCAGCACTATAAAGCCAATGTAGTTTTTTTCAGAGATTTCACAGCAGGTGTGGCTGTTGCAAGCAGTCTTCAGGAGAAGAACGTGTTTATTTTTACGACAGACTGCATATTACATGCAAAGTATTCACATAAAACAGCCTGACTTATGTCAGATGCAATTAAATATGTAATTAAAATTTAAAAGGAATGGAAATTGCTTGTTACATGTAAATGTGCAGTGTTTATAAATATCAAAACTGTTTTGGTCTGCATGCTTATCCCAGGCAAAAAGAACCAAAACATCTTTTGGGACTCATCTTTTAATCTCGAGCATTTTAATTCAAATTTAGGATGTAGCTGTCCCCCGTGCCAGTGTGGTGTGAGGGAAAGTGCAAGTTGTGGGGATCTGGTAGATGCACTGAGAGGGATGCAAGGCTCCTATTCTTTGGATATTCCTCAAAATAAAAGCATGTAATTACTTGGCTAGTTGGAGTTAATGCTTAATTGATTTGCTTTACCAGGCACCCTAAAGAGGATTGTTTGCCTAAAGAGGAGGAGCAGATGTAGCAAGGTCCCTAAGTTGTTCTCTTCAACTTAACTTGAGTTTTCTTGCTTCTGCTTACACAAATGGATGAGTCTTTTCTTCTCTCAGTCCTATATGACAGCTTCTCCAGCAGGATAAGTGGACATTATCCTTCACTGGCACTTATTTCTTAGGATGTTTCCTAGTTGCCGCAGCTCTCCACTAGTTAATAGAACGAAAAGGCCTGGAAAGTGAACTAATGGCACTGTCAGGATAGGTGTATTGATAGCATAATCCTTAATGCAAACATATTCCGAGTTACTGGAGAGATAATCCACTGTCTCCAGCTACTCTGCGTTATCCTGTCAGTGACTCGCTTGGCAGGCAGAGGAGAGGTCACTGCAGTCTCTGTGATATCTCTGTTTCCAGGTAGGATAGAGAATGATCTGAGCAGAACCAGGAGGTTAAGGACAGAGATATATCTTCTCATCGCTTTTAGTTTTGTATCTGCAAAGAAGTATTTAGTAGTAATGCTAATTAATGTGATTAATATTAAATACTAATCTGACATGAGAAATTCCAAAGGAATTATTTATAGATATAGGAAGAAGTGATTTATGCTTCACCATGCAAACAGGAAGAAAATGTGATTGTTTTGGGAGGGGTTGTTTATATATATTCCCTTCATTATGATCAGGAGACCATGATGATCAAGAAACAAGTAGATTGCTGGCCTGGCAGCTTAATGAGACAAGTCTCCTCCATATGTTTTATATCATGGACCACAGGTACTGATACCAGTAAGGTACTGAGTCTCTTACCTAATAAAAGGAAGTATGAGAGAAAAGCTGTATTTTAGGAAGTTGTCCAGTCATTTAACTGTATACTTTTAGGTTTTATATATAAACCAGCATACATTGTATTATTGTCCATAATTGATTTTAATTACAAATAATAACCAGTCAAAAGAAAGCAAATGCAAAACACTTGAGACAGAAATTACTAAATCTGTAAAATTCCTTGCCCTGTGTTTCCTACTCACCTCCCCTATGATGCAGGTGCCTTGATGTTCCACTTCTCTTTCTGCCCTCCTCAGCAGCTCTGGAGTGGCGTATTTCTTGGTTTTTTTGGAGTCTAGTGCTTGTTGTCCAAAAATGACTACTCTACTCATGCTGGCAGAACTTTGTACTTATGGTCGTTTCCCATCAGAAGTTTGCCGAGTCTGTGCCTCTTACCTTCCGAAATCAGACGCATTCAGTGTAAGGTGGTTGAAGCAGGCAGGAGTTCAATGCTGCAGCATTACGGAAATTAAAGATAGAGGCAGCCGAACATCAAGCCATAATACAGCCGCTGTGATGACAAGTACAATTCTGACACTTTTTAAGAGAAGAGTGAATCACAGAGGCAGAAAGCATTGCTTGGTTTGAGGGACACACAGAAGTGAATACTGATCCACATTCATTTATTTGTCCATGTTGTGAAATGACATCCGCAGACATCTGGAGTGAAACAGAAAGGTCGGTTTGTGCTCATAATAGTCATACAAGCCATGGCTTTCTGAACTGGTGGGCCACTTGGACGCCTTCCTGTGTAACCTCATCTAGGTGTTCCTGCTCCAGCAGGGGGATTGGACTAGATGATCTTTCGAGGTCCCTTCCAATCCCTAACGTTCTGTGATTCTGTGTGTGTGTGTGTGTGTGTAGAGAGTGCTCAAATGTTCTTATTGGTACATTTCATAAGCAAAGATTTCTTTTGAAGAAATTATGACATTTCTATCAACAGGAGAATGCTTTTCTAATGTCACAACCATTGGAACTAAATTCATAGCTCCTCAGTGTCAGGGCTTCCATTAAGCCAATGGTACTATTCAGATTTAAATTACACCCCAGGGCACTAGCCTTGGCAGTGGGTCCTTAATCTGCTCGTCATTCTTCCCCTATTTGCATCATATAGTGTGGAATGAGACAGCTGGTTTTGCTCTGGTGAAGCTCTGTCAGTGTTAGAATACAGTGGTGATGAAATAGGCGGGCTTTCTGTGCAGGAAAGGTGAATATCTTGTCCTGTCATTGAAGCCAGTATATGATTTTTGTTTGTTTGCTTGTTTGTTTTTTTGTTTAAATAGTAAAAATGTTAAATTTCATTTAAAAATTTAATTTTAGGGTAAGATGGTGAAAGGAATGGGGGGTGCCATGGACCTGGTATCCAGTGAGCAGACCAAAGTGGTTGTCACCATGGAGCACTCAGCCAAGGTAAGGCTTTGCCGCATCTTTCTAAATAAGTATTTTGTGCTGTACCAAAAAAAGAATAAGAATAATAAAAAAGCACCTTACATTCATTCTGCTACCTTGTGAGAATTTCACAGTTTTGCTGTTAGTTATTATGGAGATGCAACAGGCAGTTAGGTTAGTATGATTCCTTTCCCCTTGTAAGTGAATTATTCACCATGGAAAAAAGTGAAATATTAACTTGATATTTAAAAGCTGCACACATTTTTTAGTTACTTCGTGTAAATTTAATGAGTGACAATTGCCAGAGCTACAGTAGATGCTACCCCAGAGGTTTTACTCTTTGCCTCAGAATAATTTGAAAAATGAGGTTCCCCGTGGTTAAATACTTGTTACGATGGAAAGATATTTACCTTTGAAGTTGCCAGTCAAATGGGTGCTGACAGCTTAATAGAATAGGTCTTTTGACATGATGAGATGCAGTCTGCCTTACATCATTATGCAATAGAGGTTAATCTGGAAACTTCTTTGTGGGAGGAGTTTTACAGATACAAGCAGTCTCCCACAGAGTACTTTGAAACTTCAGAAATGAGACTGTCCAAACTATGTGAATGTGAAAAATGGATTGAAGGACAAAACTCTCTTTTATTCAGGGAACTATACTGAATGCTGAAAAATGAATTTTTCGTTTAATTTCTGTGCTACTGTTATTCTAAAGTTTTTGGAATTTCATCTATGTAACTCGCATCCCTATCACAGCCTCACAAAAACTGGATATGTAATTATCTATTTGCTCAGACGCATACTTCAGGTATTAACGTGATATGAATAATAGTTACTGTGGAGTTTGGCTAAGGCTCAGAGTCCACAGAGAGTGTAATTATTCCTGCTAGTTTTTCCTCTTAAAAGTACTGTTACCAAAATATTGTTTCAGTACATTGTTTAGAAGTTGCTTGCATGTTGTTTTTTGTCAGTAGGAGTACTCAAACCTGAAAAAGATGGAAACACAGATAGGTTCACTGTAATTTATATAACGTAACTAAGGCTCTTGTGTACATAGGATGCCTGGTGTGCACTTCTAGAGAGACAGTTACAGGCTTTCATAAATTATTTCTTCTGCTTTTGTGAGAAGGCACTGCAAAACTAAACTATTTGCATGGTTTTTAATTTCATTCTTTCATTTTAAAATGGG